ACCCGTCTGCATTTCATTGCATCAGCCCCACCTAGTCAGATTGAATACGACTCACTGGAGATTCTACCTTCCTCCAGGTCCTCTGGGTCTAGGTTCCCTCTTGAAAGCTTGTAAGCCAGTCACTTCTTGCCTTTGTAGCTCCCCACCCCCATTTTGGGTAGCCAATGTCCAAGTTACCCATTCCTGTCTACTCTGTGTGTGGAGGGGGTGGGAATGATTCTTGCTGTAAGGATGTGTTCCCTCTTTTGAGCCACTGCTTCCATAGGTGTAGGTCAAGTTCATCAAATTGTATGATAATATATATATACATTTTTTTTCCTCTTCATTTTACTTCTGGTTGAGCTCCGATCATCCAGTCATTGAAGCCAGGACAAGTAGGTATTATCTACAAGTGTGGGTGTTCTTATATGCATTATTTTTATAGTAAATACTTGTTCACGTATTTAAATTTTCAAAACAGAATTAGCTATACATGCTACATATTTGGCCACTTCCTTTGTTGAGATGCAGAAAAATAGGGCACAAAGCGAAAAGAAAAGAAGGATTTTACTATTAGGAGATAGGAAGGAAATTCCTTCCTCAGGTCATTACTATCATATATTCAAAGAACCTTCAAAGAGTTTGAGCAAAAATGGAATAGGAAGATAATGGAAATTTCCTATGAACTTTTGGAAGTCCCCTTGTACAAACACCTCATTTGTGTTGTGATGAATAAAAGGAACAAACGAAATAGTGGATGTGGATGTAGCAAACTGCTATATAAATGATGGTTAACGTTAGTATTCTTAGGTTATAGTTCCCTGTCTTAGATATCATGGTCTTATTTTCATAGAGCTCCTAAACAAGTAATCCCTGTAAAACTATTTTGAAGAATCTGAAGCAGTTATATAAATGTGAATAAGCAATTAATATTCAAACTCTTAATCATTTCAATGATATACTATTATGCAGAATATATATACTAGTCATAAGTAAGCGAGTCATAATCTCAATGTCATATTGTTTTGTCACAGTAGTCTGAAAGGCCTTCTGGAAGTTGTTATTATATTTTTAAGTTATAGAGTTAGTACTAAAGTCTTACAAATATATTTTATAATTACATCACAGCATGAAATCTGTTTACGAGGACAAAGAAGATACGCTAAAAGCCAAGTGAATTACTGAAATTAAATATATTTAACTTATCGACATTTTTCTTGAAACAAAGAGATGGGCCACATCCATTGAAGTCCGGCATTCTGGCTGCACTTACTAACTGGAATCAAATTTTTAGAATTCCCATCATCTTGAAGCTTTAGAGGGCTTTTATTTTTCTTTTGGCCACCAGATTTTTTAGGAAAAATTCACCTGTTTAGGAAAAATGAAAACACAGTATTAATTTGTATCAATTTAAAGCACCAACGAAACTATTTCACAATTAAGACTTGTTTTCTAACTGCTTTCAGCTTCACCACCTACACGTATTTTTAAGAAGACTTTTGTATTTATTAGCATTTTTCTTTTCTCAAGTTCCAATGGCAGTATTTTTTTTTAACCTCACATATCCTCTTTTTTCTACAATAATGATTAGTCATTGTTCTTTCAAAAATAATTCTTATCATTACAGTCTCTATGGTTATTCCTTCTAGTAAGCCAATATTAGAAAGGGTACCCTATTGTGTCTATTGGTCTGCTTCTGTATATTTATTCCACTTTCCTTCCACTATCTTATATCTCATCACCGACAAAGTATTGCTGTTGGCAAAATTCATTTCAGAGAGCAATTTTGCTCCATTATTAGCCTGGATCTGATGTTTATAAAACAGGCCTCGTTGCAGTTGAGCAGACTCATCTGATGGAATCTCTTTAGCTTATCCCCCTCTGGGGAAGCCGGAGCTCTTCATTTATAATGGACTCTTCTCCACCCCTAACTGGTGCCTCTGCAGTAAGTCAGCTGCTAGAGGGATGCAATGACTGTCTCAGGTCATTGGGACTCCATTTAGTCTTATTGCTGGTGCCGTGTGGCTTAGAGCTTATCGATTTTATGAGACTGATTAACATCTCTTTGTCCTCTTAAACTTATGAGTAGAATTGTGATGCCCACATGCATACACAATCACCTGTGCCAAGGCTCATCATAATCCAGCCAAGAAATGGACGGATTCATTTCTGCTGCTTTGTACCTCCTCATCTGAATCTGGTAGCAGAAACAAGATTTTTACACACTCTAATACAACATCCTATTTTAAAGCTCCAAATACAAGAATTCTAACTTTCACCAGTAACTTTTAAGACATTAAAAAGGGCTCAGTTCATTTCCCTCTAAGTGTTAAAAATATTCTTTAAAATGAACAAAAACTCCTTTCAATATGACTCTATTTAAATCAGTCTAGAAGCTGTTATTGGTTCTATACTTTATATATGCTGAGTCAGCCACAGCGCTGCTTAAAAGTGTTCATTTCTAAAGTCCCCAACTCTGCCAGTCAGTAGGTTTT